TGTAATGACTCGATGTCAGTTCTTAACATACACTGATATTAAAAGAAAAAAGTGGCTACAGAATTACAAACAGCGAAATAAAAACTTCTTCTGTACTTCCCCTACCGACGTCGCTGCGTCTATTTTATTGACTTGAAAGACCCTTGCTTAAATTACATCCAGGTTTATCTGCAAATATGCGCCGTAGAGCCACTTTCACTCACATATTATGAGCTGCACTTAATATCGCCAAGTTCAAGGCTGTAAGAAGGCTTTTGACTTCTTGAAACGGAGCTCGTTGGATTAAAGGCGCTAATCTCAGGAAGTAGGTACATTGAATTAAAACAATTTTAGTCCATTTATTGAAAAAGGCTACAAGTTATGAAACATCAAGAAACGCCCAATAGTAGACGAGCATCGATGAGCAATGTTGCAAAACGGATAAAATATCTCCCACTTATGATGTACAAGGTGGGTTTTTAATTAACACGGTTGAATCCGAGGTACGGCTAGTGTAAAAATAATAATTACTACTATATAGTATTAATACAATACGTAGATATAAACTGATTGCGTAACTGCATTACTCACGTGCCTTTTGCTTTGGGAAACGGTTCCGCCGCCAAACTATTAGCTAATTATCAAGACTTCGTCAATTTGTAGTTGTACTTAAATTATTTATTTTTATGTACATTTTGTCTGCTGGACACATATTTTGTCTAGAAAATACTAAACGATGTTTTATTATTATTACCAACAGTTTTCACATATAAAAAGTTACTGATTAAATCATGTAGTGCTGGGCTAGTGGCTAAAACATGCGACCCTCAGCCCTTTGGTCCAGCGTTCGATTCCCGGTTGTGCAGCAATTGATGTTTATTTCTAATTACTAAATTTACATTTCTTAAATTATTATGTAAAAAAGCTTCAATAGCATATACTTTTTAAACTCAAAACCCTGAGTTGCGATAATTAGTTATCATATTTTGTTTTTATTATATACATTCGAAATTCAAATTTTTCAGTGTTTTGCAACTAATATAATATGCACCAATATTGCCACATAATAGGAAGGAATGTTCCAAAAATTAGGTGATTATATTCGAAACTGGAAATTTCATTACAATATATCACTAATGTTTATATTATTCTAAAATTCCGAAATTCGAACATTATTCTCATAATATTAATTATCCAAAATCCAGTTTCGTAACCGCTCTGCAAAACTTAAATGTCATAGTTGTTAAGCAACCAAATTAGCAAACATTTTAATTATAAAGGAATTTGTTCTAGATTTAAAAAATATCAGTATAATATGGTTATTATTTATAAAATGTTGATTCAAGAAAAGTTTCAAATAGTTTACACAGTAAAACTTTTTGTGAGGCGATGGGAACGAAAATGTTACCCACATTTTCGTTCTTTTATTATTGCATTATGTGGTTGGCATTTATATCACGTTAGCTTGTAAACGACCTACACGCTATATTTACTTGTATGCTTATTGGAAAATAGGATCCTGTTTCTTCTCACATGATTTCTGTAGAACACACATCAAAGGCAAGTGTTCAAAAAGCGAGCCTACTCCTCCCTCAAAGGCCGGCAACGCACCCACTAAAAATGGGTGTCTATCTCTCGTTTGCCCCCCTATTATATAAAAAAAAAAAAAAGTAACCTACCTCTAAAAATACAGGTTCGAAAGTAATTTTATTACGGTTTCATGGGCCAATCTCTTAGCTGATTCGACTCTGCTTAGACTGACAAATGTCAAACGAATTGGATTTTGACATACAGGAGTCAAAGTTCGAGTTCGGTATGGACTTAGAATGCCTGAAGGAGAGCATCATAAGGCAGTTGCGTTGATTTGTAGTCCGTATGCAATTACCAGGTAAATAAAACACGGCACTCATATAAACATTATTTAATTTGACACCGTCAACATTAATCACAATGATACATAGTCTTAATTTTTAATTTAATAAACATTTAAAGAATAATATAATGGAATGATAGATTTAGTGAATGTTCCCAAAAACCCAAAACTTGTGATTTATTCAAGACGGTAAATTGTTATGTAATATTTATGATGATAAGTCGCTTATACTTAAAGCACTTATCTAGAGCGAAATTACTGATTATATATACCGAACGTTTTGTTCGTATCGCATTGTTTTTAACAAATCAAGGCTAGCTAAGTCTAAGTCGAGAACTTTACATGAAGGAAATGTGTTAGTATAACAGCGTTTTTAAATAAATTCAACATATATGTTATAATTTCTGTGCCTGAATTTCTAAAATCAGGAATAGAAATTAAAATTGAATTGAGAATTCCGGACGGTAAGATCATGCCGTATTAATAGTACCATTATGTGAGCATGTGGGTTACCATAACAAGAAAAAATACACTTCATATTACTTATAATATTCCTCTGTAATTGGTCTTAATAAAGTTCTTCGATTATAGATTGCCTTTATAATTGCGGTATATTGAACTTACAAACAAACAGTACATAATAAGTTACCGTCATGATGCCAAAACATTCTTAAATCTAGTACCCAGCAATACGGTGACTAGCATTTCTGACATTGAAATAAATATGTCACTTATAAAATATATTAACGTATTACTTATTTTAAATTGCTGTCTGTCGTCATTAACTTGCTTTTACATAAAAAATATAAACACCAACACATAAAATCGCTCCAAAATATTTAAACAGCAAGGTTAGTATAAATAAAAAATACGATTTGAGGTAAAACTTCTCAATGTTTTTAGGTGATAATATACAAAATTAAGAGCTGGGACAATAGTAGCTGGGGAAATAGTATGTGTACACTATCACTTTTATTTCCTTTAGAACTGCATTGGCATCAGTTGCCATACAAATATTCTGATGTTTGTGAGACTCCGATGCCTATGAAGGATCAAAATCGTATCTTACCTACACTTATCCATATGCAACCAAAAATATTACGGTTGTCTGCTACGACTAAAGGGATATGGATTAAGCAAAGTTACAATGAATGTGGGAGACGAGAAAAACTTTACACGATCGGGTATTTTTCTATCAGAGCCAAAATATCGCCGTGTGAGCATACCATGACTTATGGCTTTGCAGTTGTCATCATAAAATTAACGCCAGCGTTTTTAACAAAGACAGACAGATCTAAAAAACGAGCAAATAGGAATGAATATATTCTTACACTAGCGGGGTTATGGTCCCGCACACTTATTCTAAACATCCTACGAAATACTCTATTGATTAAAAAGTGATTGTATGAGGCACATCATCTAGTCGAGTCTATTGAAAGATACAGACCGGTTACATTTGCAAACTACCCACATAACCGTAATATCTGAAAGATAACTTTGCAAACGTATGGCATTATGTATCGTTTGTGACATCTACCCTCCTAAAAGTATGGAAGAACGGATAACTTTAGTTGGTCTATGAGCTACTTTTAGAAAAAGTTATTTTTTTTAATAAATAATCTTTTTGGTTACTTAATACTTAGAATGGCTAAAAACCAATGTATAGAGGTCAAATGACAGAACAATTCGAAGAATTCACTTTATTAGGCCATTTGAATAAATATTTTCATTAATATAACATAAGCTATTAATATTTTGAAACTTGAAATGTGGTTTGTAAGAACAAGTTTTTGGTATAAATTAATTTAACCATCTTTTCAACAAAGTGTCTTTAAAGTTAAAGCAAATCAGTACCAAAAAATCTTGCGTGGTGTAGTACATAAGTCATACGAGTGATAAAAACAGTATTAAGGGTAGCTTAAGGAAGCGTTACCACACTTTTGTATAGTCCGCTAGGCATCCAAACGAATAAACACTATGCGTTGAATGCAAATAATGTTGAATTAACTTTTAAACGAACTCCAAGTCGGGTTCAAGAAAATACAGTTGTTCAGCAATTTATGCAATCTGTAAAGATTGTGCATAATTAATTGATTTTGTATGAAATGGCCCAAATTGCATGCTCATATACCACCCTACCTTATCACCTACAGAACCTACGACCAATTACTGTATTCTGAATCGTCAAGGATTTATGTTAAAACAATCCACGTTTGTAATAAATTATTTTATATTTTTCATAAATCACATCACTTATGAATAATAAAAAACACTAAGTAAGTAACGCAAACAGCACCATCTAGTAGGTGCGACAGAAACTGTCAACTAACTCCAATTGGTACACGAAAATAGTTTGATCATCCAGAATACAGCAATTTAGTTTACGCCCACCTCCCAGTACCAAATTGCAATTATTTATCGCAATTGTTTATTTATGTTACATTGACACATGCTTAGCTTTAGTTTAGCTTTTAGTTGAAAAAAATGTATCGTCATAAGCTAGTATTAGTGTCTACCATCTACGAAATACAAGTCAAAAAAGATTAGCATTCAAACAACCTGTGTAGGTAGAGAATTTAGCTGAGGTTTTAAATAAAACCCATCTAATTAAAACAAGTAATTAACGCTATAATTAATTACAAAATTGAAGAGACAGATGGCGTTGACCACAATTTGCTTGAAAAAGTTGGTTTCTCTCTCGTTTTAATTAGATAAAAATCATATTTTATACATTAAAATAATAAGTCTGCAATATTTTTAAAGATATTCATGGACGAATATCATTCAGAAAAAATACGCGACGTAGGTTTAAGGTCAAACCATTTCATATAAGAAATATGTATGAAAATTTGAAATGGCTCAACCTAAATCAATAAATGAAACAGTAGACAGGAGCTCTAAAATACGAATTTGTGTTCGTGTAAGTATTAGCTAAGTATGTGGGAAAAATCCTATGAATGTTGACTTTTTCTTATTGTACTGATATTTTGACAGGCCTCCAAAACACAAAGGAGAAAACATACAATTATTTTTTTTAATAGAATGGCCTATTTAATTTGATATTAAAAGATTTGATGTTTTTCACAGGATTTTTTACACGTTTTGTCATATAATACACAACAGTTTAACATTTAACGCTCAAAACATACTATAAAGTATTAACATTTATTTTACTTGGACTATGATCCCAATGCCTTAACCATAGACCAAAGAGTAATCTTAGAAGATGCATTATACATCTATACATTTCGCTGTCATTCAAATTGTTTTCATCCCAGCACGTAAATTTTCTGGCGCAATCCATATAATATATAACTTTTATAAACAACTTGTTTATATTGCCCAAGAAGGGCTTCCTTGCGCCATTTTCACAGCAAATTCGACAGTTGCATGCTTGTACTATTTTGGTGGTATATAGAGGAGGTTTTGTTACGACTTCAATACTTACTTTCCTAAAACGATTGTTGTCTTCAACTACAATTGTGGGCACGTCCTGTCTACTTTTAACGCGTTTTAGGGATGAAAAACTAGCTTTAAGTTTACGTAAGTTTGATATGCTACGATTTGCGGTATCTATATTTTCATAGCTATCGCTCAAGGGGACAAAAGTCGAAACTTGTAACGTGTTGGTAGAATTGCATCGTGACGGCGCCTTTTTATTCTCAGCTACGATATCATTGCAACTTTTCACGTGCGACAAATTCTGCTGGATTAGGACTAGTTTCCGTAAATCATTGCTCGATCTCTTCTGCCATTCATTTGATATAACGCCTAGTCTTCTTTGTCGGACTTTATTTTCATTGTCATCCTCTTGTTGTTCTTCAGATATATTCTTGAGGGACATTCTTAATCCCATGTATGGCTCTTCATCGTCTAAATTCTCAATAGAACTCTTAGCGGAATCCTTGTAGTCATCGAAATTTTTAAATGAAAACGTTTTCTGCAACTTTTTTACAGGCGACGGTACGTTCCCGCTTTCTTTTTCCATCTCAATTCCCTTATAACTCTCTCTGAGCACGGATAGCGCCAGGCTATTGCCGTGCGGTGAATTCGTTACATCAAGCGAAACGTGTCTATTTTTCTTCTTGGGTGGCGCCGGTATATCTTCAAAACTTCGATACTGTTCCAATCGTAAATCAGAATTCGGTCCGCCATAATCGACGGACCAAGTGGATGAAGTGTCACTACCCGACCAATCGGAGCCTAAGGTTTGCAAATAATTGACTATATCCAGACCGCGGTCGAGGGAAATGGACCTCTGTAGAGGGATATCGTGGTCGAATCTGAAATCTTCCGTTTCGTCATCCCTTTCGTCGAACTTGCCAAGCCACGTGTCAACTTCTCCACGGTTAAGATCGAGACTGGTGAGCTCTTGTCTCAGGTCGGCGTGTGTGTGTTTGGTTTCGGAGTGGCGCCTGTGTTTGTGTGAATGGGTGTGCGGGTGTGAGGTGGGGTCGGAGAATCTACGCGGGGGCGGAGGCGGCACCGGAGGTCGCGGTAAGCTTCCCGCCCAACGAGCGCGCCCGCCGGGGGAACGGGCCCACGGCGATATCAGACTCAGCAAAGAGCTTGCGAAAACTGTGGGACGATACAATCCTCTCAATACACCTGACTACGTAGCGCTGAATACATTTCTTACGGCAGGACTGATTCAATATTACTTTGAATTTTGGTCAATTTTAATTGTTTTTACCCATATTAAAGTTCAGTACAATGCAATGTCAAGTATTATTGTATCAGTTCTGACTAGAGCTTATAGACGATGGCAATCCCTTGCTTTTTATGTTGTAAGGTTTTAAACACATACTCCATAAACTGAATTTTTTATGACGTCAATGGATTTTTAGTCGTAATCTGTCACTATAGACTAGCAAAAAATGTATAAGATTTAAATTGACCTCTCTCTCTACAAAAATATAGAAAATATTAAATTGTATCAGTGAAATCAGTCACATAAGTGTGCATTTCACATGAAAACTACGATAAACACAATAATAAGCACCACAAAACTACAAAACACTACTACTACAAGAAAGAGTGCAAAGTAAGCATCAAAATTTCATTTAACTGTCTCCCGATTGTTTTGTGTAATACTATGACTAGTCTTTGAACTTAAAAAAACCCCAATATAAACTAATGAGCAATAACTAAAAAATTACTGACGCCAAAGAACAGATCAAGATATTACAAACGAGAGACTGTCAAACATCGGATACCACGCTTTCAATTTCGTTTTAATAATGTCACCAATCGTATGCTGTTTATACCTTTCTGATTCTAATACCAGGGGCCGAAAGAGATCCTTGGAGGTGGCGATCGTCTCCCTTCAGCGCGCCATGTAGCCAGCCGAAACCTAACCATAACGCAAAATGTAGGACGGGATATAAATCAGCAACGTAATATACAAAGCGAAAACATACACATAAAATGGAGTTATTGACAATGAAGTGATGGCATAAAAAATAAATGTGCGAACATAATTTTTAAATTAAGTTTTTTTGGTAGATAATTTGGGAATCAAAACTAATATTTAAAACCGTATTAAATGTAATATAAAAGATTTCTTAAGAATAAAAAAGGAGGGTGATGCAAAATTGTAAATATGAGGGTAGGTGGATAAAGCACGAAGCGGGTGTTATAATAAAATGGGGTTATTAACTTATTGTTTCATTTAGAATTAGGGTAGAAATGGGAATCAAAAGTTAAATGTAAAACCGTATTAAATGTCGTGTACGTAGAAGGAAAGATATCTTAAGAATAAAAAAGAAGGGTATATGTAAAACTCAAAACATGGTGGTAGGTGAATAAAGCACGAAGCGGGTGTAATACTTGTTTCATGCTATTCCGTGCCGTGCTAGTGTTACGATGGCTGATCTCTTTCGGCCCTGGTCACATTTTTTCAACATTAAAAACCTAAAAAGACAATAAAATTTTGAAATATAGAGCCAAATATGTAGCAGGAATCAATTTTGGCATCTCTGTACGTCATTGTATGTTTTTTATACCACACATTATGTATTTATTCTTATGTACCATGAGAATAAAAGGTAAGGAGTAAGGAATTTTCTGTGTTGTTAAGTTTTTATTTGAACTATTTGTAATACATACTTTCATGTAATTTTTTGTAACAATCACGTGCAAACAGATATTTTATAAGTGAAATTAATGTAACTAATATAGTGTAGGGACGTACAAAGATGCGACAAAACCATCTAAAACTCATGCTCACTGCGCCATCCCATAGAGGAAATGAACCAGAACCAAATAAACCTTAGACATACAACGTTTTGTTTCGCTAACAATATACTATGAAAAAGAGAGACAAAACACTGCATAATTATTGAAATATAGGTGTACATGCTACAATGATTGGTGAAAATACATAAATAAAGTTTGGCAGAAAAATATCTATATTTCCTTTATATTTTGTAAAAAGACAATTTTTTGCCAAGACTAGAGTACATGATGTAACATAAATAAATGTAGAGAGAAGCAACATAATAACATAGAAATCAACATATGTACATTTATTGCTTATTGTATTAGATAGTAAAAACTTTTAATGTTATTTTAAGATTTAACAAAAATCCTCCCTTAGTGTGGAAGAAGCATTTTTTGAAATTATGTATACGAAAAAAATAAATAATATATAAAAATTATACTATTATAATTATAAATTTTAAAAAGGTAAGTTATAAAGCGCCCATTAAGCATGCAACCGAACCAATGCCACTTGCATGCTATGCCATGCACATGCAATCTTAAATTAAGGATTTTTTTAAATAAGGGATTATTTTTATCCGACCGTGTCGTAACTCACACAAAATATAAACGAATATTATCATCCATAAAAAATTTGTAGTCTAATTTCACCGGTTTAACAAGTACTCATACGTCTCTTTTTATCTTAGCGTAAACACAATTGAACAGAAAGAGACAACCGAATACATTCTTTAGCTTACAATCTTAAGGAAAATAAATAAATAGATTTCATATCTGTTAAAAGTCCTAGTTCGGTCTAATATGAATAATCCCTTAACAATATGTACTATTAACAGTACTTCAAATGGCTCATTTACATGAAAATTAACCAATTGAAGCAAAAACTACGTTCGGAGTTGGCCATTAATCACATGAGACACGAAAGAGGATGAGATGTTTAGAAAAAAATCACGAAATATGAAATGGAGGGAGGTATATAATTATATTATGTAAAGTTTCAAACTCCACTACCCTAGTGATACTAGGGGGAGGGAGTTTAAAACTTACAATTTAAAAACATCACGTGATTAATGGACGCCCGCTTTACGAAAGATTTGAAATTTAAACTTTGAATTTGAACACAATTATTTCCCTAGAAGTATTGAACGTTAAAATTAAATACAATCAAAAAAGAACACGTTGCTGTCTACAACAAATTATGTGTCTTTCTCTCATCGTCATCTCATCTCATCATTGGTTTAGGTTATTTTCTACCTAATCATGTTTTCTAATTCAACCACAGGTTAAACTACTTTTACTACGCCATCTACTGGCGACGCTATGACAACTAAGAGCAAACTGTATTTATTTTCAAAAAATTATACTTCTAGACTATACTCACAACTTCCTTATTCCGCTGTTACGTTTCCACGGCGCGTCGTCCGGTTCAGCTGGAAGTGGTCCTTGTACGGGAGCCTCGTCCTCTTCCGGTACTGTGCTAGTAAGAGATGGCGATGTGTCCGAGCCGCTGCTGGAAAATCATATACGTCTCTAATAATCACCGTACCATCGAGTGTCGATTGCACATAGATAGAAACCTTAAAACATGCTATATCTTAATTTATGTAATTATAATAATAATTTATTTATTGCAAGAATATGGTACACAAATGTTAAGGTGGTACAATCGTTAATCGTTCGCCATATTCTGCCACACACAATGGCGCGCAAATTTGTCTTAAGGAATTTTACATTTTACATTATTAGTCAAAGTCAATTCTTATATTATCTGTATCCGTACATATCATACTTTATTAAATTTATGTCAATTACAGTGTCTCGCGCAAATAATCATTTATTGAATAGTAATTTTTTTCCAAAAGTAATACACTAAGTCGCTTTTTAAAGACTCTAGTCGGAAGATCTTTTAATTTTTTTGGTAATTTATTGTAAACTTTATTTGCCATACAAAAGGTGTTTTTCCGAAACAGTTCTAGATTGATTTTTGGCACAGCCAATTTCTCTCCATGTCTACTTCTTACTTCGACTTTTACTTTCGACTTCAAAATATGTATGTTTCTGTGCACGAATAAGGATATTTCTTAAATATAAATACATGGAAGAGATAAAATGTTGAGCTTCTTAAATAAAGGTACGCAACAAGAAGTCAAGACAATCAAGACAGTTTGCTCTACGCTTTGCCACATTTTGTTAAAGTTAAAAACCCCGTATACCCTAGGATGAACTTACCAAACCACGCGTATTGAATTGGTTTTTTGATATAAAAAAAAAATCCGTGATCTCTGCCTACCCCTTTGGAAAAAGGGCGGAATAATATAAATAAATATAATAAGGTAAAGTTATAACAAAATGTTTTGTTATTTCTCCTTACCTATCTGGTTGCGGCTCCGTCTGTAGCGCCTGCAATTGCTCTTCAGCCCTATTCAATTTAAGTTTCAACTCATTTCGCTCGTGTAAAATTGCACGCAGCTCTCGAACGCTGAAAGTCGGTTTCGACGATTGGTCTTCATCGTCCGTGCCGTCAGGAAACGTTACACCGCACGATGCGCACTTCTGAAAGCATGTTTCAAAACATTAACACTTGACGCTTCATATTCTACATTATAGCTTATTTTATTCCATTAATTTAAGTTTGCTTTACGTCAAAAAATACATGTTTTCTCACGAAGACGCATATAACGTCACTAAAGCGTTGTTATTGTCGTTTCTCGTCATTTCGATTCTGATGAGGAAGCAAGAATTTAGAAGGAACACTGGTTAGACCACCATGACTATAGAAAGCACATCAGTGAAGAACACGCATTGTACCTCAGGTTAGGTTTAAATTTAAAAAGGATATAATCTAGTGTTAATAAAAATACCTTGTTCTGTGCGTCCGATTGCTGTAAAACAGTGATGTCTCTTTGTTGGGACTGAACTATAGCCGATAATTCTGTTCTTTCTTCGCATACTAAGCGCATCTAGAATTGAGAAAGCGTATTTTTATTTTAAAATATAGCAACAACGATCTCTTAGTTACGCGAATACTGCACAATGAAAATAACGGTTTTACGGAATTAAAATCCGTTTTATAATTAATACACGCTACGATATGACTAGACTACCTCGAAAATAGAAACGGCTCGTAGGCTTCACTCAGTCTTTCGAATTCTGCCACAAATATAGCTTGATGCGAATTCCCAATTTTACATTTACATTATTGACAGTAATTAGGTTAGGTTAGGGTATTTAAAAGTTAGATTTAAAATAGGTATTTGGCAAGTTTTAAGTTATAATAGGTTTCTGACTTATGATTTTAATTTTCTTGAATTTCTCTCAAATCTTGTAGCAATTCTTATATATAACCTTGTTGCCGTAGTAGTGCGTAAAATAGCGTTTAAATGGTCTTAGGTTCCATTCCTAGCGACTTCAGTTGTTTTAGAATGGTTCAAATTGTCATACACTATTTTGTAAGCGATTAAAATTCTACCTAATTCTTATAGATTTTTTTTTAATACAGCGGGCAATATGTCTCTGTCTCTCACCCAATTCCTCTGACTCATATCTAGTAACATAAATTATTAAAGATCAATAAAACAAGTCACTAGACATCGCCTTGCTATTTACATCTGTAAGTAAAGGCAGTTTATGATAATATATTAGGTCCTTACATATGAAATTGGCGTATTTCGTACTGGCCACTTTAATCACGATGTTCTCCTCTTTGGTAAGGAATTCCAAATTCAAATTTGTACAGCTATTTACTCATGTATTTGTGCTTCGATGACCGTCATTCATTTGTTTTTTTTCTGTTTGCGTCACTCATTTTACAAAATGGAAAACTTAAAGTATCGCATTATTTACGAGTACGAGTTCCGCCGTGGCACAAGTGCTGCGGAAACGACTCGAAGGGTGAATGATGTGTATGGCGGTCATGTTGCAAAAGAAAACACAGTTCGTTTTTGGTTCCAACGTTTTCGTTCTGGAAATTTCGACCTGCAAAACAAGCCCCTTGGACGGCCTGAGACCCAAGTTGATAATGAAGTATTGAAGGCTATTGTGGAAGCGGATCCATCGCAAACCACGTCCGAGTTAGCTGCAGGCTGCGGTGTTAGTGATAAAACTGTTTTAATTCACTTGAAGCAAATTGGGAAGATTAAAAAGCTTGAAAGATGGGTACCTCACGAATTGACTGAAGCAAACCGGCAAACGCGCGTCGACTGCTGCGTTACATTACTGAACCGGCACAATAATGAAGGTATTTTAAACCGAAACATTACCTGTAATGAAAAATGGATCGGAAGCGCTCAGCGCAATGGTTGGATCCTGGCCAGCCAGCCAAATCCTGCCCCAAGCGAAAAATAACCCCAAAAAAGTTACTTGTAAGCGTTTGGTGGACTAGTGCCGGTATTGTACATTGCAGTTTTCTCAAATCTGGCCAGACTATTACGGCTGATGTCTATTGTCAGCAATTGCAAACCATGATGGAAAAGCTAGCGGCTAAACAACCTAGGCTGGTCAATCGCTCCACGCCACTGCTACTTCACGACAACGCTAGACCACACACTGCACAACAGACGGCTACTAAATTAGAAGAGCTTGGAATGTCTAAGACATCCTCCGTACTCCCCGGACCTTGCTCCAACAGATTACCATTTTTTTCGAAATTTGGACAACTTCTTGCAAGGGAAAAAATTTAACTCTGATGGGGCAGTCCAAATCGCCTTCACAGATTTTATTGATTCCTGTCCGACTGGTTTTAAGTAAAGGTATCAATGAACTACCTATGAGATGGCAAAAGTGCATAGAAAACATACTTTGATTAATTAAATATAGTATATTTAAAAATATTCGACTTTTTGTTCCTCCCATACAAAACGCCAATTTCATATGTAAGGACCTAATAATAACATGCTGTCTTAGCTAACGATTCGTTATCCGTAATACTTAAGCTATAAAATCACTTACTTGATTTTGCAGCTGCTTATGCTTCCGTCGTAGATCGCGGCTGACCTGCGCCAACTTTTCTACTTGGTTCGTCAACTGTAATGTATCCAAAATTGCCATATTCAAAAACTGTTTTCATTTAAAACAATTCTGTCACAGGGATTTATTGCACAACGATACAAGCACGTGCTTAAAACTAATACGTATACTATACTTTTGAAGGAAATGCGATTATCTTAAAAGAGTAGGTCTAAAAAAACACGATAAGCCTTCGAGCGCAGATAGAATGGCACTTCACTCGCAATGATAAGATTATGTCAACGGCTTATCCTCTACTTAGCGAAAAATCTGCAGTTTTGTTAGCGAAAAATTTAAATTTTAAAATTAGAATACATTTTTAAATTTATTCTCTACGATTACGGATATTATTCTTTAGTTAGATTGACCGTTTAATATATTATAAATGGTGAAGGAAGTCTCTCTAAAAAAATTGGCTGTAAAATGCATTTTCTATCTATAGAAAACTTGAAAATTAAATGCATTATATATTTGAGACTAGCGCATTTAGTCCGTAGGTCCGTTTAAACTAAACCATGGAACTTTCAGTCTATTTCCAGACACACGAGAGCATCAAATATAAGATCTATTAATATCACGTATACAAAAATATTTACCTTAAGGGCAGATTAAAGCTTAACATAGCACTTTAACACATAAGGTCAGAATCTAGGTCGCGCGTAGGTAGTTCAAAACTAGCATTCATTGCTTTTTTGCAAAATCTCGAGTTGTTTGTGTTAGAAAAGATAAATCTACGCTATTCAGGTTCGCATTTAAAGAGTTTTTATATTTTCATAAATTTTGTTTGATATCTGACAGTTGACGATTGATGTCAATGTTCTAAAGAATTAATACTTTTACATTCCGTCATTTGCGATGACGTCAATAATTCACGAGTGTTTTTTATACTTGTAAAAACGCAGCTTATTCATAGACGTTTTTTGACGTCAGACCAAATTTAAAAAAATTACCAAAAATTTAAATTACCAATTCTTAAAAGGCCGGAAACGCACTTATGAGCCCTCTGGTAATGTGACTGTTTATAGGCGGCTGTATTACTTAACCCCGTTTTTATAAAAAAAGAACAAAAATACGATCCTTTTCAAACGGCCCTAACACCATTACCTATATTGCAGTTTTCATCGTCCAAAAAATATTTCCAAATGACTTAAGTTACGGCACCTTACGAGTGTTTTGTCTCGCTCTGTTTAAATTGCGTTACACCATTAATCTGTTTTTAGCAAAGAATTTTGTCACAAAACAAATTACTATCATTGTGTGCCTAATTCATTTAGTGACGATAAAAAATATCTAATATAATTGTAACTAGCCGACGGCTGGTACTGAAGATATTTTTTTCAAGGGGAAAACGAACAGGCAGAAATTAAGTGCTACTGGAAGAAAAGGGAATTCACTACCACTGATATTATATTACAAATAATGAATAGTTTACCAAAAACATATCAATAAAAAAAAGGAATAAAAACATCAACAACAGTAGCAAGAGTATTTGGAATTTTATTGGTATTTTCTTCTCACCTAGAGTTCCGTCATCAAACTTGTCATAAGGATTCCAAACATTTTTTAAAGCTGTAAATAGCCTCTGTTATAATGTAGGATTCTAATGGTTAAAGATGTATTCGTTAATATTTTTTCATAAATTAAAGTAATAAATTCTTAGATAACACCAACGATTGGTATTGCATTATTTTTCATATCCGTTGCATTTATTTAAGCTACAGGAACTAGTGACCCATAGAAAGAGGCCAAATTTGTAGTTACTTACATAAGCTAATAAATTGAAATAGGTATCATATAATTATATTTTGTTTCAACCAATGTGAAGCTAATCGTTAAAAGTGACAAACTTCTTGAGAACCATAAGTATTTTTTGTTTCCCGATATTCTGCCTGCCTTTCGTAAGACGAAAAATAATCCAACTTTCACTATACAAAATCGATTTATTGGTCACTAATTTTGGTATTGTCAAAATTAAGCATTTGAAAGAAATATTTGAATTTACAAAATGTTTTTACCTAACTCAGTTTTTAAAAACGCAAAACCATTTAAGTAGATAGATATGCATAACAATTACATTGTGCATTATAAGAAACTCGGCAATCGTTAAAAATTAATAATAGTATAAAAATTACCGGTTTTGGTATTTCTCGTGCAATTTATTTCATTAACTATTATTTTATTCACACGTTCGATTACAATAGAATATATATATATATATATATATATATATAATCTAGCTGTCTGGTAGGTAAAATCATTAGATTTAAAGAAAAAACTTTTTACCGGATTAAAGTTATGTATTATTATAAATTTAATGTTTAATGTTTAAAGAACTTTATTTCTCATTACAAAAATTATTTTTTTTATTTACATGAGAAATTTAATATTAAGTATATATACGAACGAGATACACGTCGCCATCAGCTAACCCAATTCTAGTCTAATGGGCCCATTCTGATGTGTGTCTTTAATGCCCTTTTGAACTGATCAATCACGCTAATGTTACGAAGCTTAGACGGCAACCGATTAAACAATTGCACACCCTCATACCTAATAGATCTCTTTAAATAATTTGTGCGCGGCTTTGGCAAGATAAGCAAACTCGCTCGACGAGTATTGCGTGTAGTGGTGTATTTGATTTTATTAAATGATAAGTTACTATGTAGAGAGTTATTTAAAATTTTTTTAATAAGGATACAGGTGCTATAAACATATAGTTGTTTAATCGTCATAATTTTAGTTTCTTGGTAGATTTTATTAGTAGGTGTTAAAAAATTGTATCTGAATAGTGCTTTTATTAATTTATTTTGTAGTGTTTGTATTGTAGAAATTTTGTTTTTGCATGCTGTACCCCATATTTCAATTAGGTATATGAAATGTGGCTTGACTAAACAATTATAGATCAAATGACGTACAGATTGCGGAATGCATTTAGATATTGACCAAAATCTGCCTATAAGTGATTTTAGTTTGGTAATTATGTGTGATATATGAAAGTTCCATTTTAAATTTGTATCCATTCTAAGACCCAGATATTTCTCCCATTTTTTGTTATTGATTTCAACGTCTTGAACTTTAAGCGGTTGAAAGATAGGAATGAGTTTATTTGTTGCCTTGAATATTACATAAGATGTTTTTGAAATATTAATTGTTAGTAGATTTTGTTGAAACCAAGAAGATAGAACATTTAGGTCTGATTGAGCTTGAGCAACCATAGTCTGGATATTTGAACCAAAGTAAAATAAGCAGGTGTCATCAGCGTAGAGAGTGATTCGGCCGTGTAAACCGAGTTCGTGAATGTTGTTAATATATATTAAAAATAACAATGGACCTAATATAGATCCTTGTGGGACGCCGCATGTTATTGGTATTTCTGAACTTTGAGCATTACCTATTTTTACTATCTGGGTTCTGTTTGATAGATATGATTTGAATAATTTTAGTGCACGATCTTTTATTCCTATGCATTCTAATTTTTTAAGCAATAAGTTGTGGCTTACGGTGTCAAACGCTTTTTTCAGATCAATAAAGACACCCAGCACCATTTTCTTAGAGTCAATATTTTGTTTTATGTCGCTAACGAGATCGGCTGTGGCTGATAAAGTGCTGCTTTTTGATCTAAAACCATATTGGCGTTTAAAAATGAAATTGTTAGTTTGCAAGTAAGTGTCAAGTCGTGAGTAAATAATCTTTTCTAATATTTTTGATATTGTAGGTAGAATAGATATTGGTCTGTAATTGCCGGGTTCGGTTTTGGGGCCAGATTTATGGATAGGAGCAACTCTGGCCTTTTTAAGAGAATCCGGAAATTCACCATTATGCAGCAGCTTATTAAAGCAGATCGAGAGATATTCAGAAATATGATCAACTACGCATTTTATTGTTTTAGTATTGATCCCATCTATTCCACTACTACAATTCGTGTTTAGTGTTTTTATTATATTAGTGATTTCAAGTGTTGTGCATGGATTAAAGTTAGATAGTTCAGAGTTAAGACTTTGAGGAAGTGCTAGTGTAAAATTAATGTGAAATTGTGTTGGTATTTCATTGGCTAGTTTTAGCCCTATGGTAGAAAAGTATGTATTAAAAGCAGCACAAATATCGGTTGTTTGAGTTAACTCTTTAGTGTCTATAATAAGTTTGGAAGGTGTGCAATCTTTATTTAGCTTGTTACTAGCCAATTTATTTATTAGACTCCACATTTTTTTAGGGTTTTTAGCGTGTTTAATAAATTCGTTGGAGAAGTAATTATCTTTAGTTTCCCTTATTTTCCTTTTGACCGTATCTCTTGTAGTAGTATATTGTGCTTGAACAACTATATTTGTAGGATCTTTTTTCAGTTCAGCCCATAATTGGTTTCTAAAGTGAATTGCACTAATGACTTCTCCACTTATCCAATCTTTCTGAGGTGGATTAAGTATCTTTTTCTTTACTTGTTTGCATTTCCTTACACAGTCCTTAATCGTATCTTCTAGTAAAGAATAATCAAGTGTTGCTACATCTAAATTGTAGGTCGTGAATAGTTTGTTAAATTTAGCATAGTCAATGGCTTCATATTCAGAGTATATTAACTGCGGGGCTTTGGATTTTTTTAACTCGATATAAAGTTGCCTATGGTCGGACATTCCTGTCTCAATAAATGCCATATGAAAACGGTCACTTCTTAAATTTGAGCACACGTGGTCGATTATTGATTTACGTGTTTTCGAGTCACGTGTACAATATTTTTTCCTAATTTTATTTATGATGTTATATCCAGCCTCGTCCATTACATCCATATACTGCTTAGTTTGTTTTTCATTCTTTTTCACTAGATCTATATTAAAATCCCCAAAGACTACAGCCCTCTTTCTTTCTCTTAGTTGCAAGCGAAGTTCTTCCAAAAACTTTGAGAAGTTTGTATCTCCAGGATTATACACAAGTCCAATTTCGGTGGCATATCTGTCTAATTTGACCCATAGGTAGTTGTTGCCATCTTTATATGTTGACTCCGACAAACTATGTCTAATACTGTTATGGACATAAGTTGAGACTCCACCACC